CGATCCTCCGCCTCAGCCTTCCAAGTAGCCGGAATTACAGGCATGCGCTACCGCGCCCGGCTGATTTTTGATTTATTGTAGAGATGAGGTCTCGCTGCCCAGGCGGGTCTTGAACTCGCGGACTCAGGCAATCCACTCACCTCAGTTTCCCAAAGGTGCGAGATTACAGGGTGAGCCATCGAGCCCGGCTGGGGGCTTTCTTTTAAAAAGGTTTGACCTCTATTTTTCTTGAATAAATGAAAGGCAAAAATGATTATCTAACTCATTTTGTTGTTGTTGTTGTTGTCTTTTGAGACAGAGTCTCACTCTGTTACCTAAGCTGGAGTGCAGTGGCACACTAATGGCTGCCATAGCCTCAACCTGCTGGGCTCAGGTGGTCCTTCTGCCTCAGCCTTCCAAAGTGCTGAGATGACAGGCGTGTGCCACCACACTTGGCTGGCTTTTTTTTTTATTGATTGTAGAGATGAGGTCTTGCCGTGTTGCCCAGGCTGGTCTTGAACCCGTGGGTTCAGGCAATCCTCTCGCCTCAGCCTCCCAAAGTGCTGAGATGACAGGCGTGAGCCATCGGGCCTGGTATGACCAAAGGGTTTCATTTCTGAATGATCAGAGGGGTTGGTGGCACATCCAGGGAATAAGGTTTTCCTTTGATTAAGTGGGTTAAACATAGAAGAGGAAGGAGCGCTGCTACTTCACAGAGCCTGTACTCAAGCTTCTCACCTCTTAAAGGGGAACATCGTTCAGAGGTGGCTCAGGCGAGCCTTCTGCCTCAGCCTCCTGAGTAGCTGGGACTACAGGCGCGCACCAATCCACCCGGCTAAGTTTTTAGATATTCTGTAGAGATGGGGTCTTGCTATGTTGCCCAGACTGGTCATGATCTCCTGGACTCAAGCAATTCTCCTACCTTGGCCTCCCAAAGTGCTCACACACGCTTCCAAAGTGCCCTTAAATACATTGTTTCACTTAATTTTTACAATCCTAAAATGTAGGTATGATTAATCTTCCTCACTTCTCAAGGGAGAAAACTGATACTAGAAGAGGCTGAATGACTCACACGTGTCACACACAAAAGTAAATGGCAGAGCCGGGGCTCAAACACAGAGTGCCCGGATCCAAATCCTTTGCTGTGGTCCCGCCACCCCACCCCGTGTTTCATTCTACTGATCCTGGCTTCCCGTATTCCTCCTCCTGGGAGAATGTGCTACTCCTGGCTTAGTTCAGGAAGGCGAGTTCTGTGGAGTCGTCAGGCTCTGTGACAGGCATGTGGGGACAGAATCTGTCACGCTAGCCTTTTAGATGTCTTTCTTTCCTTCCTTCCTTCCTTCCTTCCTTCCTTCCTTCCTTCCTTCCTTCCTTCCTTCCTTCCTTCCTTCCTACCTTCCTTCTTTCAGTGCTGGTTTTTGTTTTGTGGGGTGTGTGTGTGTGTGTGTGTGTGTGTGTGTGTGTGTGTGTGTGTGTGTCAAAGTCTCATTCTGTCGCCCAGGCTGGAGTGCAGTGGCACGATCACAGCTCACTGCAGTCTCAGACTCCTAGATTCAGGTAATCCCTCTGTTTCAGCCTCCTGAGTAGCTGGAACGACAGGTGTGTGCCACCACACCCGGCTATTTTTTTTTTTTTCAAATTTTGTAGAGAAGGTGTCACCATGTTGCCCATGCTGGTCTCGATCTCCTGGGCTCAAGCAATCCTCTCACTCTGGCCTACCAAAGTGCTGGGATTCCAGGCGTGAGTCACCACACCCAGCCTTTCAGATGCCTTTCAAGCCACTCGGTGAGTGCACCATCAGGCCTCCTATGTCTGTGGCTAGTTTGGTTGTCATTTTCCTAGGAAGTGAACCCATTCTAAAGAGCAGGACTGGCTAAGACAGGAGATGGAGTTCACGGTGGGACAGAGGAAACAGAAGGAGTTGAGAGACAGCAGAGAATGAGAGGAATGAAGGCAGATAGCACAGGACAAATACCGGGAGAGCAGAAGAGGGGTGTGTGTGTGTGTGTGTGTGTGTGTGTGTGTGTGCGCGCGCGCACGTGTGTGTGTGAGATGGAAGGGGGCGCCTTGGCTGGAACCTTCTGTTCTGCAGGTAGAGGGGACATAGGCCCTTCCACAGACGGGGCTGGCATCGGCCAGTGGCCGGGACAGGCAGGCCTGCGACGTGTCCCCAGCACAGATGACCGTCATGATTTTCTTTCAGTGGCAGAAGAGACAGTGCTGGGTGATGTTCAAGGAATGTCTGGCCAACACACAGAGGAGACTTTGTTCATTTTTGCAACAGGGTTGCTTCTGAGACGCTGCCAAAGCCAACCCTTGGGGCCTCGGGTACAGAAAAGGAAGGGGGTCCGGGCCCACAGGGAGCCAGCTCGGGGGAGGGGGGCGTCCACGTCGACAAGTTGCGCTCCTGTCTGTGTTTCCTCCTCCTGCATGGAGTGCTTTCACCTGACAAATGGTGTCTGAAGCAAAGAAGGCTAAGGACCGGTTTCTGACTTAAAGCCCAGCTCTTTGTGTTTGACCTTTCCTTCTACTCGGATCCCCTACACCCAGGACGCGCTGGTGTCCACGGATTTTTGGAAAGTAGTCGGTCTGATTCCCACGTGATACTACCTACCTCATCCGCCACGTGCAGGAATACCTTGTGTGAGCTTGTGACATACGCAGCCACGGTCCCCTGGCACACCACGGCCAAGCCCGCAGGAGGAGGGCCCCAGCAGCTCAGTCTTAGGCTGAGGCAGACGTTTTGACCGAGAAAGGGAGAATAAAGTTTCCTTTTATTTAATTTATTTTTTAAAGATAGAAACGGAGTCTTGCTGTACTGCCCAGGCTGGTCTTGAACTCCTAGGCTCACATGATCCTCCCATCTTGGCCTCCCAAAGTGCTGGGATTACAGGCATGAGCCACAGCACCCAGCCCTGTTCTTGCTTATGTATTTTTATTTTATTTGGAATTTTTGTAGAGACAAAACTTGGTCTCGCCAAGTTGCCCAGATTGGTCCCAAAATCTGGGGCTCAAGAAATCCTCCAGTCTCAGCCTCCCAAAGTGCTGGGATTACAGGTGTGAGCCACCATGCCCGGTCTCTACTCTTATTTATTTTTTTTTTTCAATTGGAGTCTCACTCTGTCGCCCAGACTGGAGTGCAGTGGCCGCTGCCGGCCACC